CCCTCCCCCACTGAACACACACACCACGGCGTCACTTTTTGCCCGATTCTGTTACTGTTACCTTTAGTTAGCGTGGCTCAGCGGCCCGCCAGAGTCACGGGGTTAATGAGCCCTGAAGCGACTTTGCCGGTGTCGGTTAGGAAATTCACATTTTTTATATATATATATAAAACGATATAACTTCTTCCACATCCCACACAGCAAACCATTACGCAGGTACTAAAAGCTCGATGTCTGGAGAACTATTCTGCGTTAGAATGGTTAATTTCTGTGCCTTAGTTTTTGTTCTAGACAAACTTCATGGTAACTTTAAAAAACTTTCAAGAAAATATACAAATATACACATAAAGTTGTATTTGGAGGAATTACTTCATAGCGAATTGTGTGCCCGATGGATAAAGTTGCAAAATTACAGCTTATGCGCAAGATTTTGTCGAGGCGTTTTTTTAAAATATATATTGATTTTTTTCATTCACACTAGTCCGAAAAAAATTGCAATTTAGCATTGCCGACTTCAGCGCATCTAACGAAATAACTAAATAAGTTAAAACATCCATTCTGTTTTGAGTCTCAAGAGCAGAAATGGATGCTTTGGGTGCACTTAAATGAGAATTACCATAAATACTAGGATACACCTAAAATTGTACGTTGAAAAGTACCAAAACTTAAGTCGGCCCAGACAGAGCTGTGACAGGGAGCTTTCCCCCGTGACCCGGACGTGATAAGGCGCTCGGCGGGCAACCCCCCTCGGCAAGTTAACATTATAATATGAGGTGAAAGTGAAAGAGCTGAGGTAGTGTCAAGAAACAATATTATGAATAATGTAGGATCAAAGTTACTGAGATTAATAGAAACTGACTTGATTGGCTCAGAAAAAGAAATACTACTACCACTACTAGAGTCTATGCTAGAGAAAACAAACTGACTATGAGAAGCAATAAACTGTTGGTCCTGGCCTCCAGTAGATCTACTTTAACCCAGGGTTGGTGATTTTTTTGATAAAAATCCAAAAAATCGATTTTTAAAATTTAAATCAGATTTTTTAAAATTTAAATCGAATTTTTTTGATTTTTTTGATTTTTAAAAAAAATGTCGACACAGTTTGGGATTTTTGGTGGCTAAAAGTATGTTCTTTTAGTGCAAAATGCATTGTCTTTATTTTAACTAATGATTAATTTAAGCAACTGCAATTTTAGAAAGCCTTAATCTGCCATATTAGTGAATTATGGCTACAGACAAAAAATGAAGAAAATGTCAGTCTAAAAGGAAGGGGGGGGGGGGGGTAATTATGCACAGATAAACTTGCATTTTATTTTTATTAGTGTGTGTGTGAGCACACGCTTGTGTTTGTCTAAAAAGAAAAAGAAAATGCTAATTTCAATTATGAAAAAAAAGTAAATTGAATACTGTATTATTTTACTACTTACAGTGACAGGGGGGGAAAGCAGACTTTTAAGCAATTTTAGTCTACTAAACCTTATATTTGTTTTATAAAACCAAGGAAAGGAATTCTGAATGTTTAAAGATGTAAAAACAGAAAACATTTTTTAAAAGTGATTTAAATCACTGAGTTTTATTTTTAAAATCAAGTTGATTTTAAAAAAAAAAATCAACTGATTTAAATCGACCCGATTTAAATCAACCCAACCCTGGTTTTCAATTATGAAAAAAAAGTAAATTGAGAACTGTATTATTTTACAGTGACAGGGGGGAAAGCAGACTTTTAAGCATGATTATATTAGTCTACTAAACCTTATATCCGTTTAAAATAAAACCAAGGAAAGGAATTCTGAAAGTTTAAATATGTAAAAACTGAATACATTTTTTTGAAAAGTGATTTAAATCACTGATTTTTATTTTAAAAATCAAATTTGATTAAAATTTTTAAAAAATCAACTGATTTAAATCAACCCAGCTCTGATTTCAATTATGGAAAAACAAGTAAATTGAATACTGTATTATTTTACAGTGAAAGGGGGGAAATCAGACTTTTAAGCATGATTATATTTGTCTACTGAACCTTATATCTGTTTTATGAAACCAAGGAAAGGAATTCTGAATGTTGAAATGTGTAAAAACCGAATAAAAATAATTTTAAAAAAAAGTGATTTAAATCACTGATTTTTATTTTAAAAATCAAGTTGATTTAAATAAAAAAAATCAACTGATTTAAATCAACCCAACCCTGCTTTAACCAAAGACTTACTTGCTACATACTCGCTCACAATATCGACGCGCACTCGACCTGTAAATATATATAAGAACGGTCCTGTATGATGACAAAAAGTCAATTGATACTGTACCAGTGACGCTGTACCATGCAGATCAAGTCTACAATCAGATACTATACACAAAGCTGGACAAAGTTAGCACACAACAGTTTTCTATCCTTATGTAATCTGCACATGAAAATTTGAACTCAACATGGTTGATAAATGACATACGCATGGAAATGAGGTACAATTAACATGGATTATTATCCCAACACATATTATAAAGACTGAAAGAAAATCAGATTTGAAGTTCGACCTTCTCAACAGCAAACTGGAGTCTTTGATGGATACTGACAATACTTCTGTTTCAATAGGAATCCAGTTCCATCCACTGACCAATCGGTTGCTAGGCAAGTTGTCCTGGATGGATCAAACAACCTCACACCCTATTTCATCTCGTTGATGATGATATCTTTCGATTTTTGGAAGAGAATGTCGAGTTCATCCATCCAGTTTTGTTTGATGCATCTTCTGCTGAAGCTTAGTGAGCACAAAGCAGGGTTCCAACTCAACATGGAAAAAGCCGAGAATTTCATTTTCAGATTTCCCAGTCTGGAAAACACCATGAAAATGAAAATATGGGAGAAAGCCAGGAAATCAAAGGGCTGCCCATATTCATGCATTTGACGGAATTGTTGCGAGGGTTTTTAAAACAAACAATTTTCATGAACAACTTTAAAAAATATATTGCCGTTTGGCTTCCCCAACCCTGGCATTATAAGTTAGCGAGCATGAGTAAGGCCAACATTACTTGATAAGGTGTCAACTAATTCCTGCAAGGATCTTGATAAGGAAGGGAATATACCTAAATTATCGACTGGATGGCTCTCTTTTTGATCTACGTCGCCTGCAAGCCCAGACAAAAATCAGCACAAAGCTCCTTCAGGAGGTGCTCTTGGCCAATGACTGCTCCTTGAATGCTCACTCCGAAGAGGACCTGCAAACAGTGCTTACTCGCTTTGCTGAAGCCTCAAACCTTTTTGGACTTACAATAAGCATCAGGAAAACAGAAGTTGTTTACCAGCCTGCCCCACAAACTAACCCACTGTCTCCAAACATCACTATCAATGGCAACAGCCTGAAGAACACCAAGAACTTTAAATATCTTGGAAATATCATTTCTGCAGATGGCTCCATCGGTCAGGAAATTGATTCAAGAATCAGCAAAGCCAGCCAAGCTCTCGGTAGACTGAAAAACAAGGCACTAAAACAGCACAATGTCTGACTGTCAACAAAAATCAAAGTGTACAAAGCCGTTGTGCTCTCCTCCCTCCTCTACGGTTCGGAGACCTGGACACTCTACAGGAAGCACATCCACAGATTAGAGCAGTTCCTTCAAAGGGCTCTCCGCAGCATACTCGGCATCTAGTGGCGAGACCACATCACCAACATTGAGGTCCTCAACTGATCAAGCTCACAAAGCATAGAAAGCATGCTCGTCAAGGCCCAACTGTGATGGGTCGGCCATGTCATCCGCTTGGAAGACTGCCGATTGCCCAAACAGCTGCTGTACGGCAAACTCGCAAGCGGCAAAAGAAATATCGGGAGGCCAAAAAAGCAGTTCAAAGACACGATAAAGGGAAACCTCCAGTTTGCACAGGTTACCCCCAAAGAACTCGAAAGAACTGCCACCGAAAGGAATGCCTGGCGCAGGGCCGTCCATATTGCCAGCAGAAACAGCGATACAAACTACAGGGAAAAGCTGACTATCAGAAGAGAGAGGAGACATAAGCCAACCACCACAACCATGACATTCCATTGTCCCCACTGCATCAGACATTGTTCATCCAGGATCGGACTGCACACATGCCACATGCACGTCCACAGATGAGCTGCAGGATTCATTGTCATCTTCGGCAAGGAAGGACTACCTACATATATTGCGAAGTCTTACACTAGGCAGTCAAGCTGTGTATCTTTCTTCTGTCATTACCTTTGGAGGCCCTGCCTCTTATATTTATTAGAACCTAATAATGTTGATAGGGGCGTTAGATCTAAGCTTTACCCATTTTTCTTTCATATTTTAACTATAATCAAGTAGATGTAAGATTTTTAAAGTGAAAAGACGTGGTAATCATAGTCAGTTTAATGCAGACTTCTGATAGATCTATCAAGCCGATGTTAGATAAACAACTAAAAATAGACTTTGTATACAACACTTGTCGAGAAGAAAAATGAAAGCATAGAAAATGGCCACTCTAATGGACAATAATTCTTGAAATATTTAACTTTCAATTCATTAGTGATATCTGCTTTTCCATGTGGTGGATGGGGAGGAAGTTTTATATTGTTTCAGAACTTGAGTAAAATAGAAACTTCTTAACCTCCATGCCTATTAACCCTGATGACACCTTGCTGGGGATCTCCGGTAGGCTGATGAGTCATGCCAACGAAAAGGCACAGAATCAGACAAAAAATAATACCTTGTTTTGTTAATTTCACTTATCCGCTTTCGAAATTTCTAGACTACATATATGTAATCCATGTACTATCAAAAACTCCCATTTTGTGTTTTCCCCTTTTTAAGTTTTATGGAAGAGAAAAATGTCTAGAAATTTCTGTCCTAGAATTACTAAGTTTTATCTGTTCAGTACCTAGTTTTTGATAAATTTGAGTTTTACAACATGTCAAGCTTTTTCGAATGCAATTCTTTGAATATCTTAATCGAATAATGTTACGATTTTGATAAAGCAGATCTATCGAACATTTGGTATCTGACCTCATGGTCTTTGTAACTCAAAACTACCAAAAATAAAAGAAAGAACTTTGTTATTCTGAGAGAGTGAAATGAGTTTTCAAAATTGTGTGATGGTTGTGGCAGGTTGTTATTTTGCAGCATAGTATGCTACTCTGCTTTTTATGCTGAGATTGAGATTTATCATTAGAACATTAACATAAATTAGACAAAAATTTTTCTTGTTTTTTAAATTTTTATTTCAATGGGATTGGGTTGGGTTTTTTTTGCCTTCATGGACAGGTTAATTGTAATAGCTCAGCTCTATGCGCAGGAAATATGTTTTTCTGTTCTTTGGCCGAATACTCAAGGTAAAGAAAACTCCAAACTGTTTATGACAATAAATACTACCCACCCCCGTTGTAAGTGTATCAAGTGTATCATCCTGACATAATAGGAAACTTTTGAATTGTGATAGTTTTTTTTTCTTCCTTACTTTACTTTTTCCTTCCGCTTGTACCGGTGGGTGTCGCAGGGAGACACTGGCGTCTGTCTGCAGCAAGACGAGTGGCCTGTAGGAGGGACATCCCGTTAGCTCTGAGGGTGTCTGCCACAGATTCACTCCATCATCACCTTGGTCTTCCTCTGGCTCTCCATCCAGAATATTTAATGTTGTATGCTCTCTGAGCTGGATGGTTTGAGGGCATCCGCGTAAGGTGTCCGATCCACTTGACCTTTTGTTTTTCAATGTGTGGTAGGACTGGTGTTGCTCCTACAGTGTCTCTTATGACTTCATTTTTTATTTTGTCTCTTCTTGTTTTGTTGACCGCTCTTCTTAAGCATTTCATCTCGCATGTGACCAGTTTCCTCTCTAGGGCTTTTGTTAGGGACCATGTCTGGCACTGATATGTGAGCGTTGGAAGGAAAATGGCGTTGATGAGCTTCGCCTTGGTGCTCATGGGGATATTGGGATGTTTCAGGAGAGGGCCAAGTTGATAGCTGACTGCGTTGGCTCTCTGGCATCTAGTCTCTATTTCTCGATCTAATTTTCCATTTTCTTCCACTTTCAGGAAACTTTAGATGATGGGAAGCTGATTACATCTTGTACATTAAATGATGATCTTCTGCTAGGAGGTTTTCAAGCTCAAAAGACTTAAGCATGATGCAGTACGTAGACTACAACCAGACAGCTGAGGACCACCAGTCCTTGCTGGTCTTGGTTCTTCATGTTGGCTCTCAGCTTCATACTCAGCAGTTTCACCGGGCCATGGATAAAATATCCAGGGTGGACTGCATCCACGTCCAAGGCCAGAAAAGGAACATCACTGTGCGATACAAAAAGAATTATTCTGTTGAATTCAATTCGTGGGGCGACTTCCAGACGCATCGCAAGGTTTTAGGTCTCATTGCCATCGGTAAGTGCGCAGACCATACAGAGTTTGAAGATCTTTTTGCCAGTTATAAGAGCGTCAAGGAAGAGTACGCCCCTACTATAATTAATTCTCGACTCGTTGTGTTTGGAATGAATACAGATGGTTCCCCACTCACAAATGAAACAGAGAACGTTGAAGTTACCTCTGATAGTGATCGGACAGACAGTGAAAGTGTAAACTCTGCCCCCAAAGATTCCCCTCAAATGTGTTCTGATTCTGCCAACCCATCCGACTCCTCTTCATTACCTGTGCCTGAACGAGAAACATCGTCAAAATCGCCCCAGAATTCTCCGGCCGAGTTGAAGCGTAATGGTGTCAAGAAGAGCTCCGGTGTAGCCAATAACAGCTCTAGTGAGAAGAGATCTCACAGCAACAGCCTCACCAAAGAGGGGAGTGGTGCGGAGATTGTGTTCTACCCAAACCTGGACCAGTGTGCGGACCTGGAGGAGAGGATCAAGGAGTTTGTCACCTCCTTGTACTATGTGCTGGAGGGCAAACGTTTGGACCGCTCTTTTGAGCGCAGTGATAAATTGACTCTGTTGTGTGCTCCTTTTGAGAAGAAAGATTACGTGGGTGTGGACACGGACACCAAGTAAGTGGCAAATTAAACTTAAGTCCTGATGTAGAGAGGAATTTGATCTTTTTTTGACCTTTTTGATTTGAATGATTGTAGTTCTTAATATTAGATTTTGTTGGGTTTTTTTTTTCAAGTTCAGTGTGCAAGCATTATTGCCAGTTGCCAGTATACTTTTGGGTTTTTAGGTAAAGATAGTACTCTTTTAATATTTTAGAATGTTCAGAATAACCTATGTTGAATTTTCCTGTATTGATTTCAAGGCTAATAATGTCTGTAAATGAACGTGTCCAGATACAGAATGTTATAATGCTTCTTTTTAAAAAAATGTTGACAATCAAGTCCCTGAAATAGGATTCAGTCACTTGTGTTCACTCTCCACATTAATAGTTTATGATTAAGACTGCATTAAAAAAATCTAATTCTATTTCACAGCTGATTACCATTGTTTATGATGTTTTTTTATCCATTTTTTCTAGATCTTTCCGTAAGAAATGCATGGGCCGTTTGCGTAAACATCTGGGAGACTTGTGCCTTCAGGCAGCCATGCCGGGGGAGGCTGTGCTGCACTACAATACTGCCCTAGATCTGCTGCGTGGTGTTAATGACTTCCTGTGGATGGGAGGTGAGAAGTGATGCTACCCCTCTGTCTCTCTTAAAGGAAAGTGATGTGGGCTGGTGGACGACCACGAAATACTGTCAAATTTGTAGTCGAAGCTATCCAAGATGTTTAAAGTCATATGAAAAGAAGAGATTATTTTTTCCATTGTGGTCGAATGGGAGAATTTGACCCTGTGGACCCAATGGCATGCCCCAGCATTAGGTGTAACTGTCATCTTGTGCGAGCTGCTGGATCAACAACAACAAAGAGAGACAACTCTTGACCCGATCAGTGCCTCGCCTTTCCTGTACTTTTGTACTATTCAGGTTTTTGTCTCTGACTTTGACCATTCCCTGTCAGATTTTGCTATGTGTGTCACGGCAAGGAGGAATCAGGCGCTCGTCAATTATAGGGCAGAAGGGCATTATTGGTATAATCTTAAAGCTTCTTCCTTTTTCTTTCTTTTGATGAAAAACAATATCCATATTTCTCAATTAGAAATTTAAATATTTGTGGTTGAAGAAGATTGGGGTCACTTGGTGTGACCGGTAAAATTAGCAAGAAAACGGCTGAAGTTTCATGACTTTCAAAGCTTTAGTGTCCTTAGAAACTGCAAATTTACTTTTTTTGTACCTTTGATCCATGTTTTTCTGACAGTAAAACCAGCGCAAAAATATATTTTTAAATAGACATGATAGGCCTTTTAAAAATCAATAGAAACTGAACAAGTGGGAAAATGTCGATTTCTTCAATTTTGTTATTTTGATAAGTGCCAGATTTCACTATGATGTCTCACAAATATTACAATATAAATGTATTATGTGATAGATATATATATATATAGGTGGGCTGTGACTAGACACTGGACAGTTGATTTAGGGTTTGTGGTTATCTGGATTTGTCCTTGAAGAAGACATGATGAATGATAATCCTTGCTCCTTAACAGGGCATTGCACAGTGGTGACAGCAATGGCATGCTTGTAAGACTGTTTGTATAACTGGAATTGTGTAAAGTGATGCTGATGAATTGTTGTATGTGTTAGAATACTTGCCATTGTTAAGAAAATTCCCTTAATGATGAGTGAAGGTGGTACTTTATTTCATTCTATTTTTGTCTACTTACCTCACTGTCACTTTTACAGGCTGTTTCGAGGGTATGTGCTGCGCTGCCATTGTCTTAGCTTACCCGAGATCCACACCAGTGGGGCTGAAGAGAAATCTGTCTTTCCAAGTCAAACGAGGGCCGCCTATTGCTGAAGGAAAGACTAGAGCTGGTAGGTCTCAAAAGGGGGAGGAGGGGATGTTGAACGGATATGTGCTGTGCAATATTTATGGAGAGTTTTAATTTTATTTGAAGAAAGGCAGTGTTTCATATTGGACATTCACTTTGTAGTGTAATAGGGTCATCATCATCGATGCCTTTCACCCCTCGCAGGGTATGGGCCACATGGTATACAAGCTCCTTCCATTTATCTATGTCCTGGGCTGACCTTCCAAGCTCGTTCCAAGTGAGCTTCATCTCTCTCATGTCCCTTTCCACGTATATCTCATCCATGTTTCCCGTAGACTACCCCTGCCTCGTGCTCCCTGTGGATTCCAATGCAGCAAGTGTCTTGTGATGTTTCCGCTGGGTTTTCTGAGGGTGTGTCCCATTCATCGCCATTTTCTTAGTCCTATTTCTACCTCTCTATCTTTTTGTCCTGTCCTTTCCCACAGCTCTTCATAATAAGGTACTGACTGTTTTTATTAAATTTTTTATTTATTTATTTACAGTTGAACCTGCCATAACGGCCACCTGTATAATACGGCTACCTGTACAAACAGCCTCTTTTCATTTCCCCCCTTGCGTTTTTTCTATATAATTTCACTGAGTAAAACGGTCACCTGTCCAACACGCCCACGGCCACAATATTTTATCACTCAACCCCTGTCACACCAAACAATAACACCTGTCTTTGACTGCCACCTCTCTCATCGCCCGACGTTTTGTCATAGATTATGTATTGGCCCATGACGTTGGGAACGAGCCGTCCAAATACAATCATCTGTCGTTGTTGCTAAGTAGCCCCTCCAACCGATGATGTTACGTAGGCCCCTCCCACTGTTGACCGAAAGGTAACAATAAATTTTCAGCTGCTGGGGAGGTAAGAGTGTGATCCCTCATAACCCATAAGCCCCGCCCACAACTCATACACAAATCGTAAGTGAGATCAATGGTCACTGTTTACCCAATCTGAAACAAAGTAACAATAGACGTCAACATGAACTTGCGACAAAAGTGTCGCTCGTTCTCTGAGTAGTGGCGACCCATGTGTTTGTTTTAACATGGCGCTCAGTCTTCCTCGTCTGACACATTTAGTTTTTTTTTTCCCTCTTGCACAAAAGCTAACAAAAAAACAAACCAACAAAAACAACAGTAACAGTAACAATGCGGCTACCTTCGGTTAGGACCTCAGAAAGGAATGGTTTGTTTTCTTCATTTGGATCAATCCTGCCTAAGACGGCCACCTGTTTCGTACGGCCACTTTCCTCCTTGACAATGGATGACCCGTCTTACACAGGTTCGACTGTATTTTGCTGGGAGTTTCCAAAATAAGATAAGATTTTAGGTCCTGAAAGATCGCTGCATAAATTCTGTTTTTCCTTTATGTTTCGTGGTTATCTCCACAATGTTTTCTCTTTCTGGGTTCAAGTCCATCATTCATTATTTCATTTCGTTAAGGCATGAAAAACAAAATTGTGTTGAAAGGGGCATTAAACCTCCATACAATTACTGTTGTAAACCTGTTGTGTCCCACGTTGCTGGCATTATTGTAAATCAAATTGTGAGCTCCATTATGAAGAACTATTCTCTTCTGCTTTTATACTAGTTTGCCCCGCCCTAGTGATTTACTTTCCGTGGGTGGTTGGCGGGTGCTCTGGTGTGGTTTACTTCTTCTTTCCTTTCAAACATCTATTGTCTTTCTCTCCCCTCCTTCTTTTTTGTGTTTGTTACCCGCTTGGCACACCTCTATTCTTCAGCGCTTATATGACCTTATTGTGTTGCAAGTGCTGTAAAACTTTTACTAAAACTGAAAAACTGATTTACTTTCTGTTAACTCATTTTATGAGACATAAATCCTCTTCTGGATATTTGTGTCCAGGTACCAGCTATGCCAATGGTCTTGACGTGCTCGGTGACCAAAGTTCTCAGCCCGGCCCAAACTTGGATGATGTAGTGGAGAAATACAAGGAGGCCATCACTTACTACAGCAAGGTTAGTAGTACCAGTCAGTAGGAGGATGTGAGAAGGTGAGGGGATTATGTTTTTGGGTACAGATAAATGTCAGGATCCTGCGTTATTGAAAATTTTTTTTTTCAGTGTTATTTAGTTTTTTTTGGGTTTTCAGTCAGTGTTATTTACATGTTGTCTTTTGGCTTGGGGCGGGTGGGGGGGGTGGCTTGGGGTGGGTGTGGGGAGGCTCAGGGCCTTTTAGTTAGTTTTTTTTCAGTTGGGTTTTCTTTTTGTATTTTGTTTTTTAGTGGTTTTTGTTTTAGTATTATTTGTGTCACGAAGTGGTGGAATCGGGCGCTCGTCTATTTTTTGGCGTATAGAGTTATTGGTATCATCTTAAAGTTTGTATATTTGCCTTTCTTTTGGTGAAAAAATATCATCTTTATATGTCGAAATGAAATTAGCAAGAAAATGGCTGCCTAAGTTTGGTAACTTCCATTGCCTGAGAGTCCTTGGAAACTGAAAGTTTAAAATTTTTGTTCCTGTAATCAGTGTTATTCTGTAAAATCCACATAAAAATGTGTTTTTAAATGAACATAAAAGGTGTTGAGCCAAAAAGTAAATACGGAAAACATTGCCCTTTGGCCCCCCAAAATGCTGATTTCTTTAATTTCATTATTTTGACGAGCGTCTGATTTCACCATGATGCCTCACATTTGCAGTATTATTTAGTTTTGTTTTCAGTGTTACTTGTGTCTTATTCTGTTTCATTGTCTCGTTGACCAGAAGTGTGCAAGGAGACAAAGCTTTATTTTTAAGTTTATCTATATATTTATTATATTATATTTGTGAAAGTTCGTCACTTTGGTCGCCTAAAACTTCCGAAGCACTTAACTTTCGATTTTGAAAAAATTACAGGTGGTTGAGAATCATTTGAAGGGTGCACAGTTATATTAAGGAGTCTGAAGTCACTAGTTTAATTTTCAGTTTTTCATTAGTTTCGTTTAGATCTAATCTTGGGAAAGTGCGTCTTCTAAGATGCCATTGTAAACAAGTGAGGCTTCCGTACACTAGCAGTGAAGTGCTCGCTGATTCTACAATGACTTGACGACCGATTCTTTTGAGCCTGCCATCGAACGGGTACCCAGCTAGTTTACATATATGATAAAGATAGAACTGTATGACTCAATAAGGTCTTTCAGATATTGGGATGCTTTGTTGTTCATGCACTTGTGTCACAAAAGGGCAGTTTAGACTTCTTTCTGAAGGCTGTGTCGTTTGACAAAACATAATATTGTTACTCAACTTCAGAGCCTGTTTTTTTCATTCATATAACCTTTCTGTTGAAAAGTTCCTATATTTTCATCGAATGTGGTCTGATTGACTTTATTGTTTCATAAATTAAATAAAGTTGTTGGGAAGAGATGATAGTTTTTAACAATAATATAAACTCATTTTATGTAACTTCTGGATTATGTCCGATTTTGATTGGCCTAAAGTTACGTATATTTTGTGTTTCAGTTCAAGCATGCGGCTGTGGTTGAAATGGAAGCTTGTCTCAAGGCATGCCGTCTGCTCATTTTACAACGAGTAAGCTATTTTATAATTTCTCTTAAATCTATTGTTTCAACATTGTAAGTTATTGATGAGGCAGGACCTCTGAATTTAGTGGGTCAGAATCAAGTAGGTGGAAAGTCTTCAAAAACCCCAAAGCACCCCAGGTTAAAAAACGCCCCACTGAGGATTCGAACCATGATCATCAACACTATAGCCCAGCATTATACCAACTGAGCTAATTGCCCAGCCTTCAAATATTTCGTCTCTTTTCTAATGATTGGCAAACATTTTTACTGGCTTTATCCCATTGGCTTGCTCTAATATTTGTAAGCTTTTGAGAGTGGACCGTAACTAGTTTTGTATTGTTTGTTCTAAAATTATCATAATTATCAATAAAATTCCATTATCTTTCGTGTCCAGGGTTATGGTTGAACATTTCCACAAACCACTGCTGTAGGTGGTTAGCTGGCGCTTGTGTGTGGTTTGCGCCTTCTTTCCTATCTATTATATATCGTCATTATCTTTACTTGTTTTCTTTGTATGTTACTCTATAGTAACACCTCTTATCTCCTTGCACTAATATGACCTATTTGTGTTGAAAGTGCTGTTAAACTCTTAGTAAAACTAAGACTAAATACCATCACCTTATTTACTGTCCTATGTATAGCTCACATAGGCCAGTGCCTGTAGCACTGCTTGCTCAGTGACTCATCTACTTAGATCTGTGCTCAAAGCATCATCAGGAGTAGATGAACAGTAACAGAGCCGATTTCTGTTGGGTAACGGTTAGAAGCTTTACTGTTGCACACGGGAGATTCGAGTTGGAGTCCTGTGTGGGCAGTATTTTATTGAGTATCTGGGTCTCTCTACTGGGACCTTGTTTCCCTCTCGGCCTTAGGTGGCCATGACAGGCAGGGTCCAAAGTCGTCTTCTAAATGGTAAACCAAATTGTGTTAAAAGAAGCGGGAAAAGCACCTTTTTAAAAAAAAAAGAAGAAATTTCGAGAACAATTGGACTGATCCCTCTTCTTTTCTTCATTCCCAATATATGTTCATTTTGTTGGAGATTTTCAGTAATGATAGTTCATCCCTCAATGATTGACGATGACCTGTTGTTATTATTATTATTATTATTATGATTATTATTATTACAGTGTAGTCCGCTTGAACAGAAGATGGTGAAACCAAAAACCGTGGTACACTGAAAGAAAATGAAATATCTGATTTTTTTTGTTTTCTTCAATTTTAGCCATGTAAACCAAAAACTTTGTTAATTCTGAAGAAAATCCTGCAGTTCCGCAGATTGTGGTTTATACGGACTCCACTGTATTGTTTTTATATGTATCACGACTTGGTGGAATCGGGCGCTCTTCAATTTTTGGACATATGGGGTTATTGGTATTATCATTTGCCTTACTTTTGGTGATAAAAATATCAATCTTTTTTTAAGAGAAGTAGGAATATTTGTGATTGGAGGAGGTCAGGGTCGCCTAGTTTGAGAGGGAAAATTAGTGAGAAAATGGCTGCCAAAGTTTGGTAACTTCCATAGCCTGAGAGTCCTTGGAAACTGAAAATTTACATTTTTTTGTGTCTTTAATCAATGTTTTTCTGTAAAATCCCACGCAAATGTGTTTTTGCATAAACATAAATGATATTGAGCCAAAAGAAAAAAAGAAAAAAATTTCCCATTGGCCAAGAAATGCAGATTTCTTTGATTTCATTATTTTGATGAGAGTGATTTCACCATATATATATATATGCCTCACATATTATTGTTATATTATTATTAATGTTATTCTGTGTATTTCTATTTCAGAAATACCTTCAGGCTTCTGACTTTCTCCAGAATGTTGTTTACATCAACTTGCCATCTCAGGAAGATGACAGGGTATGTACCCTTCTCCAAAGTTCTCTCTGCCTCTGTCTCTCTTTCTATCTCTGTCAATCTCTCTCTCTCTCTCTCTCTCTCTCTCTCTCTCTCTCTCTCTCTCTCTCTGTCTCTCTGTCTCTCTGTCTCTGTCTCTCTCTCTCTGTCTCTCTCTCTCTCACACACGCACACACACACACACACACACACACACACACACACACACACACTCTTTCCCTCTCCAGTTGCTACAGAATTTACCCTTTTTGAATGTTTTGCCCTTGGCCTGGCATAACTCAGCCCCTCCCCCCTCCCATTAATAATTAATGACCAGATTGAAAATACAGAAAGCAGTGATGACTTGGATAATTTACTGGAGTTCATCATCTTAATCTCTCCTCCTTTTTTGTTGTTGTTACTCTCTTACATCTCTAATCTTCAGCAGCCCCCCGGGGTGGTGCTACTGACTGAAGTGTCTTTAGGCCATTCCAAAAGGGGGGGACGTTAACCTGTTCTTATGCACAGTAGAATTGTAAATGGGCTGATTCATCAATGTCATGCTTATAACTGTGCCTGAACTGCAACAGGGAACTGCTGCTTTCTCTTTCCTCATCCTTACTATCATCATTTGTCCTCTACCTCTTTTGTTTGTTTGTCACACTATTGTGACCCTCTATTTCCGGGGTGCCTTGATAGTCAAAGCAGACTTTGTGCTGTTGAGGCTAGAGAGGTGAACAGTGTAAGCCTGATTCCCTGTAAAGTCTTCTCTGTTGACATCCACCCATTGGTGCTCATATGACCTTATGCAGTAGTGAGGGCCGTTAAAACTCTACTAAACCTAAAACTTATCTTCAGCACTATATGACCATAACCTAATTGTATTGCAAGGGCTGTAAAACTTAACTGAAACATAAACCTAAGATTTTTCAGAGTGCCGTCCCCTGTCCAGTATTTCCTTTTTATATCTACTAAATCTACATTAGGCTTCTCCACCCCCACCCCTTTTCCAAAACAAGGAGAGAGAGATACAAAGAGAAAGAGAGAGTCAGAAATTTTAAGAAGGGAAATCTTTTTTTTAAAAAACGAAACGCATTGTATGTTTGTTTAGATCCAGAGGTACAACACCCTGTCAGCCCTGTACAGCGAGATAGGTTTCCGGAGGAAAGCAGCTTTCTTCAAGCGCGTGTCGGGGATGCATTGTGTAGCCCCGGACAGCTCCCCTAGCTGGTCACAGTGCTACGAGCTGCTGCTGCAGTCGCTGGAGGGGTACAGTCTGTCCGTCAACCCTAGGGAGATGGAACTGGGTGAGACTTGTCACTTATCTTGTGTTTTTCTTTGGATGGAGATGAGAACTGTGATTCTTTTAGTGGCAACAAACAAAGAAAAAGAAACACTCTGCAAAAAATGGCCAACTCAGGGCGATTTATTTTTAAAAAAAATTTTTTAGTTTACTGTTTTTTATCGATTCAGTTGCTGGCCAAAAATTTTTTAATTATCTCTATTCGTTTGTCTTCTAGAGCAAATTAAGTGAGAAATGGCTGCAAATAGTGCCTTTACTCTCGCTGTCTAGAATATTTTCAGCTTCTTGCAAGACTTTACTTTTCTCTTTTGGGTAATTTTGTATTGTCATGCACTGAGGGCCGTGCAGTTCACGATTCAACAAGTTATATTGATTCCTAAGTTAATGGGTCTTTCAGTCTGTCATGCAGTTTTTGTATTGGCCGTGAATGGTTAATAAAATGAATGGTTGGGTGGTTGGTGCTCTAGTGTGGTCTGCTCCCTGAAGTACTAGCTTCTACTTTACCACAAGGTCCTGCCTGTGTTTTCCCAGATGGCTGTTTTGGCTGGCCGGTGTTACAGTATAGAGTGCTGCATGAGCTTGTCTACTCCGCCCGCAGGATGAGTAATCCACAGATTGCTGTCAGGTGAGTTGTCTAGTTGGGAAGGGATTGTTGGAAGGGGGGGGAGGGGGGGGGTCATCTATTTATGGAGCTATGATAAAGGGGCAAAATTGAAGGCAAACGAGGCAGGGGTATACCCAGAGCAACCTACTTGGATAGCCTAAGCAGGTTTGTGATTAGGAAAGATTAGGATAATGTAGCTTTTTTTTAGAACATCTAGACAAAGGAATGAATTTAGAACCATGACTGTCTGTGTCTGTCACAGATTTGGCCCTTGAGTATGATCATCAAGAAGTGGGGGAGAGTGTACTTATTCAGAAGTCCTCAAGTTGCCAATGTATAAGGAATTTGAGGCCTCTCGTCTTCTTGTTATTCATCATCTTTGTCCTGTCTCAGAGTGATAGAAGACTTGTATCATCTGAAGCTAAGGTTGGATGTGGTAGTCCAGAAGTTCATGAATTCCCAAATGGTGAATGGTTCAAGCCTTTTTACTCTTATACATTCTCTTGTTCCTCCTCAGTGAGTGATCTGAGGGGAGCGGTGGGACTTAACTTCTATGATATAAATTCGAAGTCTAGTAAATTCAAACTGCAGAATGAATTATGGATATTCCACAGCAATTGTTAATTGTTCGTGTCCTTTAAGGAGAAAGGATCTGGATAAATTTACCTTGAAAAGAAGCGTTTGCTATCCTGGTACGGATGGTTTGTTCTAAGGTGCAAGAACAGATTTGATAACTCAAATCTTGTCCATGGGTGGTGGTCTGGTGTTATGTTGTGGTTTGCTCTTTATTTTCTTTTCTTTATGTCCTTAACTCTCCTCTTTCTTTTTTTTTTTTTGTAGGTCATGTTACTCTCAAGTAATCTTCAACACTTATGTGACCTATTTGTCTCGCTAGTGCCATAAAATTCTTATTAAAACTAAATAAAATCTTGTCCACTGCTGGATAGAAGGCACTATGTGTAGATCTTACTTCTTTTCCTTCAGCTGGTTGTGTCTGTCTTGTTTTCTCCCAGCCCTGATTGGCCTGTATTGTGTGAATATACTTCTTTTTACTAATGGTGGGTGCTCTGATGTGGTTTGCTCCTTCTTTCAAATCCAACCTCTATCGTTCATATCTCTCCTCCTTCTTTTTTGTGTTTATTGCTCTTTTGTAACACCTCTAATCTTCGACACTTGTATGACCTAATTGTGTTGCAAGTGCCATAAAACTCAAAACTACTAACAGCTTTACTCACACTCCACACTCAAATCTTGTCCGTCCTGTCTACAGACACATGACACTGCTGGTGCACCTGATGCTTCGACACCTGAGCGTCAACGAGCAGCGCGAGGCTCTGACCGGCCTGTCCACATTGACCCTCAAGTGTCCTGGCACGCCCCAGCCTCTAGCGCTGGACACTGGCCTCATCCTGCCGCCTGTACCACTGCTGGCCCTGCCTACTGTCAGGTGAAATGTTGTGTTTGGTTGTTGTTGTTTTTTCATCCAATGCTTTGTATTTATAGATAGGGGGTGGGGGGGGGGGGGAGACTGCTTCTTTTTTCTTGTTTTTTTTTTTTCTTTTTAAAAAAATTGTTTTTTTTTGTGTTGTCTCTTTTATGCTGAAGAGGTGCTTTTGATTCCCGCATAGCTTAGTTTATTTCATCGATTGTCTCCCGTCTTCGCCCTGGGATTTGATATCGCATGCAGCCTGTGTTAGTCCTAACAGGCAGCGTCAGGTAGCCTGCTGTCTTCATGATCTAAATTAGTTTCAGTGGGGGCATAAACATTTTCAATAATAACATTTAAAAAATCAGATTGACATCTGTTATAATTTACTTACATTCACAATCTCAATCTCTGTAATTCTTTCTTTTTCTTTATTCTTCCTTTTCTGTCTTAAGAATTATGGATTCTTTAAAGAAAAACGGCAACATTTTGTGAAAATGATCATAGACAAAGGAAAATAACCATAAACATCCTTCTCCAATATGACAAAATTAAAGAATCAACAATCAGGGGATGAATGTGTTGTGTCAGTCGGGAAACGGTGGAATGTACAGTGTCCTCAGGTGCGAGCTGATTACTGTTTGCTCTGTAAAATGAAAATGACTCGTCTTGACCAATGTCTTTTTGTCTGTGTGGGTGAATGGTGGTGGGTGCTTTGGTGGGGTGTGCTCTGTCTCTCCTGCCAAACATCTTTCGCCTTTATCTTTCTTCCTCCTTTACTTTGTTTGTTGTCTACTTTTAATACCTCTTGTCTTTGGCACTTACATGACCTATTTGTATTGTTCTCACTGGCAAACGAGGCAGGGGTAGACCCAGAGCAACCAACAGGGTGATCCCCCAAAAAAACTGTACAACTTTTTTTGTAAATATTTTCCTCCGCCCTGAAGCTTTCATTTTCAAATTTGAACACAATATTCCTCTTTCAAAAGGAATTTGACTGTTATTCATTTGAGATGATTCCACAAAATAATTCTGCAATTTATTGTGCATTAAAATACAACAACCCATTTTTTGCTTTTGTCCCCTTTTATTACATTACGCACCAGTACGCATTACGACAAAATGTCGTAACAATTGCGTCATATTGCAAGCTACAGCAGTCTAACAGGCCAATGGAAGTTTGCAGACATTATTATTTTTCAAGTCCGTTTTGTTTATCCAAATCATGGTTCAGTTTAATAAGGAGCAGATAGCATTAATTTGAATTGAACATTACCTCTCCACAAAATCACCGTCCCTGACATTTTGCTAGTTCCGCACAAGGTATGGGAAGATGCTAAAATGCTATCAGGGTCTTTGATGTTATGGGTTAAAAAGTTCCGTCAGTTTGGGTGTATAGAAAATCCAAACAAAAAATCTGCAGAAAAAGCGACCACTTCAGGTCGAACGCGCACCATTCGAACCCCTCTAAACATCGTCAGGGTGCAGAACTCAGTCGCTGAGTCTAATGAGACATCTGTCCGCAAACGATGCCTACAGCTAGGACTTTCATACACTTCGACTGTCCGTATTCTTAATGCAGATCTTAACTTACGCCCATACCATATTCATGTAAGGCAAACGCTTCGCGAGACTGACCGGGGACAGAGGATGGCGATATGTCCATGGTTCCTCGACCGCCCTGGAGAACGCAAGTTTCTTTGATGACATCTGGTTCAGTGATGAAGCGGGGAGCAAACAACGAGCCTGTAAGATGGTGCTCCCGCCAGCTGTTGCCGAGGGATGTCAGTCTATAAACCAAGACAGCTGCAGAGCGCATCGACCCACCAGGAACACCAGACGACACTCACTTTCAGCATTTTTCAAGGACCCTCGGGCTAGTGTTGAGTTCCTGCGTGCTGTCGGCATTGCTGACCGTTTATGATGCCACAGCGCCAGAAGAAAGAGAGAGGAGTGATGAAACTCATTTTTAACTTTCAAGATATGTAAACTCCAAAAATGCTGTCTATTGGAGATCCCACCCACCTTCCTACTGTCTCTAGAAGCCACTCCATGTCAAAAGGTGTACAGTTTGGGTGGCCTTAAGCACTCATGGTTTGGTGGGTACTTTTTTTTTTGAAGACGCACACGGACATGTCGCAGCTGTTAACACAGACCCATATTTCAAGGTGCTGAAGAAATTCTGGACTGATCTGGGGAGACACAGGCACTTGGATCGCCATGATCAGTGGTTCATGCAAGATGGGGCCAATCCGCACTTTTCTGTCAGATCAATGACATGGCTAGCTAGCTGACCACTTTGGAGATCATGTGATCAGTCGCAGAAGTGAACACATTTGGGCTCCGCATTCTCCAGACCTGAATCCTTTAGACTTTTTCTTGTGGGGATATGTTTGGCTGCCATCGAGTATTTCAAATGACGCGTTTAAAGATGTTTGGAGTCCAAAGGAGGACATGTGGAGCGTTTGTTATAGAAATTTCAGAACAAAAATTTTAGTTCTTTAACTCCCTAAGAGAAGTTAAATATTGTTAAATGTCACAAGGTCGGAACAATGAAATGTTGTAGAGAAAAAGAAGACAAAAATCAAATTAATCGTCTCATGACTTTCCTGGCGAGAGTGTTTTATTTTTTAAAAATTGACACATTTTGCGTTTATGGGTGTATTTTTCTTAATGCTTTTTCCGTTCTGAAAATAAGTTTCTTCTGTATGAATTTTATGTCAAACAAATTCGTTTTGAATCAAGTTTATCTGTTCCTAACTTCATCTTTCTAGAACTACATTTGTGCGAGATATTTATAAAAAAAGGTTGTAGTTTTTTTTGGGATCACCTTGTATTTGGAGAGCTTAAACAAATGGGTTATGGGAAAGATCAGTATAATGTAACTAGCATCCAAACAATTTGGAATGATGTCTGTCGCCGATCTGGCATATTATGATGATGTATCGCTAATGCCTTAAGACTCCATTTGACTAAAAAAAACTCAAACTAATCCTTGTCTGTCGATGTGTCTTCTTGTGACGCAGGTCTTTCCGCTTGCTGCCGCCCGCCCCGCACCTACAGGCCACCAAGATCGAGAGCCCGGACAGCTCCAGCTCATCTGGGGTCTTCATCTACACCCCGCTGTCTCTCAGCAACAAAGCCGCCAGTGACAGCAAGCCAGGTACAACAGTATGGAGTTTTGGTGACAAGTTTAAGTATGGTGATAAATAATCTTTAATTTGTCTGTGTTGTGTTGTGTGTGAGACGGTCACGGAAACCCGCATCATGTGTCGGCCTTTGGATGATATGAGTTATTGCATTTTGCTTTATGTACATTGTCAGTATTTTTACAGAAGCTGAGGTAAGATTGTTTGAAGTGCAACAGATGGAAGAGTACAAGTTACATGAAACATATGTAAATTTTCACTTAAACCCAGTTTAAAACATTGTTCTACACCAAGGTATTAACATGGAAAAATGTGAGCAATTCCTCAAGTACAGAATCTGCTCCAATACCCACCTGTCCAAGAGAACCACCTGTACAAGTGACCACTTCCCGCTCCCCCGATTACTTTTTTACTGTGTTATAATGTCACTGTCCAAGAAGACCACCTGTCTAAGGTGACCACTTTTCTCCTTGACCATTGGTGGTCTTCTTGGGACAGACAAGTGCAGCTGTATTGCAATAAATATACAACATAAATGTCAAGCTAGTGTAAAGGTGTTTATTTGAATTAAATGACAACAGAGTGAGTTATCTGTGCCAGTAAGAAACATTGTTTTATATCCTTTAACAAATACCTCCTTTGCACGAGCCAGAAGTGAGTTTGAAGATAATTTTTGGGTGTTTTATTTCTTTTTATCTTCCCCAGACTTTAAGTGGGTCTGTGGAGATGTGTGCGAGGCTTCCCTTCAGCTGCTCAATCCTTTAGCTGACGAACTCAAGATATTTTATATGGTAAATGCACCAACAGTTGTCAGTTACTCATTGTATTAATGAGGGGGATGTGGCTTGAAGGTGCCACTGGTAGGTCTAACCTCTTTACTTTCTGTCTGCAGTTTTTGTCTGTCTGTCACTCTTGCTTTTTCTTTTCTAACACTTTATGACCGTTATTGTGTGGATGGATATTTCTTTACTCAAAAATAAGTTTTGTCATATTTAGTCAGTACTAGAGCATGCCCACGTCCAAGATACTGTCAAACCTGCTCTTAGAGCCACCTGTATGAGATAATTGCCTGTAAAAGTGGCCACTTCCCATTTCCTCCTTTGCGTTTTCCCCCCCCCCCCCATCATAATAATAGATAGCATTTGTATAGCACAAATCCCTGCTCAACAGCGAGCTCTATGCGCTTCACAATCTGTACCATTACCCCAGCAGACCTGAGAGCCTTCTGAAACAACCTCAACTTCCTGGGAAGCATACAGTGCAAGCGGCCCACAGCTGTTCAGTTCTACTATCCTTGAGGAGCACTTAGTTTAACCCGTCCGCTGACCTCCCGGGGTCATAAATCCCTCCTGACAGTCAGGCCGCCCATCGCTTCCTGGGCGATAGCGCTGTTACCCGATTTTGGTTGGAAAGTCTGTCATTTTCTCTTGATATAGACCCCTGTAAATGTCCTCTCTTGTCTATCACTATGGGTGTGTGAGGTATCAAATGAAAGCTCAGATTCTCCCAAATAACACGCACCCTTTAGTTTGGTTCTAGTTCTAATCGTGTACACACACTGCCTCTGTACTTAACCCTACCTTGTGGTGCACGTATTTCTCGGATTCCTCCAAAATCAGGATTTTTTTTCCATTTGTGAACTTCAGATTGTAACCAGTTTTTTATCTACTGTATTAAGAGTCAGTAAGGAGGTTATTTGTGAAAAATTTGTTTTGATTGGTTCAAAAATTTTAGCAGGACGGCGAGTTTTGTTACTTCACTCCATAATATTTTCCCGGCCGCCGTGCTGCCCGTGCGGTATTCACCCGAGGTCCCGCTTTCACTTTCTGGGATTCTGAGTCGACACGTGTTACGAGAGTTTGTTACCAGAGTGAAAAAGTGAAAATGGAACACATGCGGGAACTACACCCTGAGTGTTTAAAAAAATTGTGTATAACATGCAGGGCCAAAAGTCAAAAGGTTAAGAAGGCAGACTAGAGCAAATATTTTTGTGTAAATTTTAAGAATGACATACTCGTTCTCTATCATGTGAACGTGGACTGGGATAGTGCAGGCACACATCCTGTACAATGTGCAACAAATGTGTAGGTCAACAGCGCATATACACCTTAAAAATTTGAGAAGCAACCCTAGCTGCTGCACAAAATAGTATTGAAGAAAGTTCACACATCTGGACACCTTTCAATCAAAATAAAACAGTACGGCTTGCCCTGTGTGTTCCCTTTTGCACGCTTCAAAATAAAGGTTGTATTAGAAAAGTACATCAAACACCGTCTTGCTCAAAAGACCCACCAGAGCCTCCATCTTTTGAAACACCGACCCATGTAATTGCAGCAGACAAACAATCACATGAAAGTACTCAACAGACATCCATAGTAGATCAATCATCTCTAGAAATATCACCAGTGAACTCCCCACACAGAGATCTAACCCTTGAGACACCAGCGGCAACTTCAACACCCAAACGCTCACAGAAAGAGTTCAAAGACAGTGCAACATCTCCTTAGTTGTGGTGTCAGCAAGCTTCTTTTGACCCAGCCTTAACACCCCCCCCCCCCCCCCCCCCCCACCCTCACACTGTGTGTTCAGGGCCTCATGACCTCAGATGAGCAGGAGGCGGAGATTTTCCCGGCTAACCCTGTGATCCCAGCAGACTCGGGGCTGATGACGGTCAAGCTCATGGTCAGGCCAAAGTCGGCCGGTACACTCAAAATCTTAGGTGAGTCGAGGAAAAGTTGTAAGTAAGCTAATGAAAGTTTTAGATGAGTTTTATGTTTATTTGTTTACTTTTTAGACGCAAATAGTGAGAACATATATCGGCATCTGATTTTCTGATTGGCTCGGTCATATTCTTCTTCATAATTAGCATTAACATGGTCATCATTGACTGTATTGTTGTTCTTATTGTATCACCATCATTGTCTTTATTGTATAAAAGGAATAAAAATTATGCGGAAACTCGGGTAGTTGAATTTGATAAGGATTTACAAAATAGGTTAAATTTTCTACTCCTGGGCTCCATGAGGAACATAGATCTCGTGCTCATCAATGCCATCTTTATAATCTTTGTAGTTGTGACCTTGTTGATGGAACCTGTGGTGTTGTCTACTTGTTCTTCCAATTTTTAAGAAGTTTTTCGTATGTCCGCTTCCTGGTGAAATGGCAGGAGGTTGAATCATGCCACTAGTAGGTTCTACTTCTTTTCTGTCCTTTTGTTATTTCTGTCTGGCTTTCTCGCTTTTCTCCCAAAAGACTGTTTTTGGTCTGATGTGCTTCTCTGTTCCTATTCAAACAAATCGTCTGTTCTTTGCAAACTGTAACAGTTATTCTTTGGCTTTTTGTAAATCACATCCAAAATGTTAAACCATCAGCTCTGAGTTACTATAATTGTCTTGAAATTGTTGCCAAAACGCATACTTCTCCCCTCTCTTTCTGTCACTCTCTTTTCCCCTATAGATTAAAGATCCCTTGGTGGTCTAAAATTGATAAGAGTAGGCTTCGTATGCCACACGGGCAAAATTCAAAATTTCCTACCAACTGAAAATATTAGGCGTGTCCCACGCGCTCATATGACCTTATGCAGTTGCGAGTGCCGTAAAACATTTACCAAAAAAACCCAACATTTATCGTCATATCTTTTCTTCTTTTCTTTGTATGTTACTCTCAAGTATCAAATCTAATCCTCGACACTTGTATGACTATTGTTTTGCAAGTGCTTTAAAACTCTTTGTAAAACTTTAAAAAACACTTCCTTATCCTTTTCTGGTGAACAGGGTACACAACTATTGTGTATGGAGTAAAGAGTAACTGCCGCCTCCGAGATCTGGTGAACCTGCGACCTTCACCCATGTCAGAGATTGTCATTGAGGTGATCCCACCTTTGCCTCATCTGGCTCTGTGCTGTTCATTGCCCAAGGCCACCGTCTTTTCCTCGAGTGGCAACTCAGCGGATGTTGTGGCATCGGGGTCAGCCACACTTTTTGCCGGACAGAGGTCAGTAAAAAATTTGAAGCTTTTTTTTTTAGTTCTAGTTACAATAATTAGATAAGTAAATATTGATGCATTTGCTTAAAATACTGGTGATTGTCAGTTTTGTGTCACTGCATAGAATTGAATTAAATTGAGATTTTAAAAGTTTGAGTCCCTGCTGCATGGTTTGAGCTGATTTTTAACATGGTCAGTATGAAGTTTGTGATTTGTAATTCAAATTTTCTTTGGAAATCAAGACTATGACAGACCATTGTCGTGAAAACTCACAAATAACTTTAACCTGACTTGGTTGTCTTGTGTCTGGGCTGTAATGGTAAGACTTCTCCACTGCACATAGAAGTCATGAGTTATATTCCTGTTTGGGGAAGTTATTGTGGCTGGTGCCTCTTATTATCTGCTACTATCTGCCTGTCCCACTCAACATGGGATAGGCAGGGTCAAAGCAGCCCTTCTGCCAGATTATTTCTATTAGGTCAATGTTTAGTTTAGGTTTAGTCAAAGTTTTACGGTACTTGCAACACAATAAGGTTATATAAGTGTTGAAGATTAGAGATGTTGCAGGAGAGTAACAAACACAAAAGAGAAGGAGGAGAGATCAGAATAATAGATGTTCGATAGGAAAGAAGGAGCACACCACACCAGAGCACCCTCTGGGCAATATTTACACACATTTCCGATCAATGAACTGGCATCTTCACTGTAGCGTGCAATGGGGAGAATTTTTATAGAGGATCTCAGTCTTTCTGCCGGGGTGTTGTGTCCCTCTTAGCCAGGGTTGGGACCTAACTAGCTGTGTGAAAACCTGCCTCAAAATGATCTGAATTATGTGGATTTGGGAGTGAAAACATCTGCATTAAAAAAAATATGTAAGTTGTTTTCTCCTTCTGGCAGTATGGAGGGGATCGTGACCGTCCAGAACACGTCGGATCAGCTGGTGGAGAAGCTTTCTGTGAGGATCAATTCAAAGAATGATGTCCAAGGTGAGAGGCTGTGGGATTTTGGCCCTCCTTTAACTCTTTTTGCCGTTTATCTGTAAAGGTTTCCTGTTACATGAATAGCAGTTATTTCGTAATTTTGGTCTCAATAAAGTTAACTCTTTCTGCACCAAACACTGGTACATCACATTGCATTTCTCTACACAGTTTGATTTTATGTGAGGCATTGTGGTGAAACAGGCGCTCGTCAAAATAATGAAATTGAAGAAATGGGCAGTTTTCGCCAGTTTGGCAGTTTTTATAGAATTTTTGTATTTTGGCTAAACGCCTTTTAACCCCTTCAATGTCACAGGGAAAGTGGCTCCTGTGGCGGGGAAAACCCTGTGAACCAGGGCTGCACAGGGGTGACCCCACTCTACCTTCAATAACTTTTTTATTTATAAATATTTTGTCATGAATTTCTGCATGTACATTCTACATTGAACCACATTTTTATTGATATGATTTGGGGGGAGGGGGGGATTTAATTGAGAGATGGATGGGGAAAAGCTGGAGTTAGTTACAGGATGCCAAAACAACAACACCAAACAACATTAGCAACGCATGTTCAAGTAATGATACGCTGATACCCAAAAAAGGGGGAATACATGTTGGGTGAGTGTCTGCAGGTATAGAGGAAGTGACAAGAGGGCTTTTCCTACCTTATACAACGCTCGTACAATATGTGTACATGTAAGTCTGTCTGTATTTACTGCCACTAATAAATCATGTTTGTGCGGTGCATGTGCTAGATCTAATCTTCTCTTCAAGCTAAAATCTGAATCTGATGCTTTCAAATGGGGCGGAAAATGGAGGTAAACATAAAGGAAAGGTACCTCAATAATAATTACAAGATTTTAGCAGTAACTTCCCTTATAATTGGTATCGAAACAACCTCTGTCACTGTCCCGTAAATTCTATGGGCCCTAAGCACAATGCTACTTGTTCAGGACTGCAAATTCTACGGGCGTGGCAGCGAAAAGGCTAGGTCCTTATAAAAACACATTTCCATGTGAATTTTACTGAAAAGCGTTGATTATAGGCACAAAAATTTGTCAGTTTTCAAGGACTCTCAAGCTATTGACGTAGCCAAACTTTGGTGGCCATTTTCTCGCTTATTTACCATTGACCCCACCTCTTTCAATCGCAATATCTCAACCTCTGTTCAAGATAGATGGGGTTTTTTTTTTCATTGAAAGCAAGGCAAATGAAAAAGATTTCAGATTATACCAATAACTCCACATGCCCAAAAATTGATGAGCGCCTGATTCTACTGTGCCGTGACACATATAATGTGCTCATAACTCATGGCATGTGAAGAGTTAATAAGTTTTAATTCACATTTGTTTTGGAAATACTGGTAGATCCTGCTTCTTTTCTTTCCCTCTTGTTTCTATCTGTATTCATTTCACTTCTGCACTTACTGACCATTGTGGTGCTGAGATGCTTCTTTTTACTCAAACAAAACAGACAAGCTTTTGTCAGTCACAATGGTTTGTTTTAAAGTTTGTGATCCTTTTATGGTGTCTATGTTAAACATGTGAAGATTGTTTTGTTTTTGTTTTTTTTGTTTTTTAATTTTTAACTGATAGGATGAAACAAATTATGTTGGGTGGTTGGTGGGTTCTCTGGTGTGGTTTGCTACTTCTTTCCTATAAAAAATCTATCATCTGTATCTCCCCTCCTTTTTTATGTTTGTTACTCTCTAGTAATATCTCTAAGCTTCGGCACTTATATGACCTTATTGTGTTGCAAGTGCCGTAAAACTCTTACTAAAACTGTTTCTTATTTAGCAGCCTGTGTTGTATTGACATGGGTTTTTTTTCACGGATATAATGAAACAGCTGGATTTTTTTCAATGAATAGAATGATGCAATTGTCAGGGTTTAATTTTTTTTTTTAACTTGTAGAGAATAAAATAAATTATGTTGGTCTTTTTTTTTTTTAATGGGGTGAATGGGAGGGGGTGGGGGGGGGGGGGGTTGTGCTGCCCATGTTTAATCCATGTGTGTTTTAAAGAAACAACTAACAGGATGAAATAATTACTAACGGTATTTTTTTTCTGTACTGCCCCCTTTGTTGACAGGTTCCCTTTCACGAGTTGTGAGCTGGGTGGAAGAGAACATCACTTCTCAGCTGCCAATCGAGACCACGGGACAGCTCTGCTTTTCCCTCTACATGCATGGAGACAGCGATTTCCTGCAACCGTCCGAGATGGTCTCAGGTAGGTCCCTCTGCTTGTCGCATGCAAAAGACCTGAGGTTGATACCCCCTGAAGGAACAATTTTTCTTCCTGCTGGGGTGTTGTATCCCTCTCAGGATTATCCCAGATGGGTCCGGACAGGCACAGTCTAAATTTGCTTCCTAAATGATGTAAATTTTATTGATGGGGACGAAAAAAGACCTACATACAAAAAAGAAAAGTTTGTGAGCATGAATGGGTCTCTGAGCAAGAAACGCAATGGGAATTTTTCTTTCTGAGTAGTTTATGGGATGAAAATTAAGCCAACGGTTCTGCACGTTTTCAACTCTGACCCAAGACATTCAGGTCCTAGAAATTTTTACCATCACGTTCAGACATTGTCAGCCCAGAACATGGGATTCCACTGTATTTGTGTTTTGAAATGGTAGTTCATATTCTAATGACGTAAATCACTGACATTTCTTCTGCAGGGTCAGGGGCTTCAATGTCACCAAGGTCAAGGTCTGAAAGTGCAGAAGTCAAGGAGAAAGTAAGTTACGTTTCCTTTTCATGTCTTTTTGGAGTTTACTTTTTTGTATTCTTTTGTTAAAATAATTCGTAACTGAGAAAGTAGTCACAAATTCTGTTTTAGAATGTATACGAAATATGAATAAAGTGAATATAAAACAAAGCCATTCATCACTTACATCATCTTGCTAGTCTTATCATAGTTCAAGACGATAAAATCAGCTACTATGTCCTAAATATTATTGGCAGAACACTTGTTACAAAAACTTCGGTCAAAATGATTTAGTCCGTGTAACCATTAAGACCAATATATAAACTTACTTTCCTCTTGTTAAAGCCAATATTAACTTTTTATGAAAACTAAGGATAAAGTTACACTGTAGACAAATCGAAGCAGCAAGGGCGGGGCAATCAAAATACATGTAAAACCAAAAGGAAAGACGGACGTTGTCAGTCATACCAAGAACGGCACGAAGCGAGGAGATGCCAGGAGAAATTCCGGCGGATGTACAATCGTTTTCATTGCTTGAAATGTACATGCGTGCACATGAGCACATATTGACAGCATGCTTGACACTAGTAGATCTACATAATTTCAGTGATGATAACAAGAAAAAAACCCCGGAGAGTTAGTGAAAACTGTTTTGTCAAAACAAAAATGAAAAATAAAAGCAAAGCACACAAAGCATTTACTTTTATTCAAAGCAAGACATTCTAATTATAGAATTGGCCTCTTTTCAATTAATTTGTAGACCAAGATCTACCTATCCATCGGTTTTCCATAACTTTCCCTTCTTAACACTCTTTCCATCGATCTCTCATTCTTTCTTTCTCAATCGTTGAGATGTGATGTCTAGAGTTAGTAGTCCTTCAGGTGTGTTTAACCATGAACATTTCATGCAGATAGAAAAAGGAATCATGACTCATTCATACTGAATCTGCACATCTGCTTTTGTCGTCTGGTAATTTTCTCTTCAAGTGGTGAAATTCACCAAACTAATGAAGCATTTTAAGTAATTGGGTTCGCCTACTCCTTTCTTTCTTTTCTCTTTGGAGTTACCTCGTCGATCAGGAGAGACAGCGCCTATCTTTTTCTGTTCATTTTCAACTGAAACTAAAATGGACATAGAAAATCCCATACAAAGTCACATGGCTTGCATCACCCTCTTCGCCTTGTTCCCGGTGTTTACGCCTCGCCTTGCACCACCAAGCCTACAGTGTGACATTACCCAAAATAGGACATATCAATATACTTTGTATCCCCGAGATGGAGTCTATCTGCTAAGTTAAATTATTGATGTTCGGTCTTAAATATTTGAAACACTGAGACAAGCAGCCTTATCCTTGTATTTGTAATATTTCAGACAACAATAACTTGTTGTCAACTTCAATTGCCCGAACTACCAACCTCAAAGCTAGAAATATATGACATCAGCGCATGAAAGCCTTAAAATAAAATTCATAAAGTAGCTACTCATTTTTATTCTATAAAGATAAAACACAAAGACCAATTCGAAAGCGTTACAATGACTTAATGACTAAATCAAACACTTCGTCCAATTTCTGTTTCGAAACAACAAACAATGAAAACCATTGCTAGTTCAAGTTTTCAGGAGAATTGCCCATATATGTATGTATTTATAATGTCTCAAGTGTACATGCATGTTTTCTTAACAATTAAAAAGAACAACAACTAAAAAACCCCCCCTCCCATTTACTTTCGCCTCACTCCTCCAGAGCATAGACACAGTGCTGTCCCTCCAGTACAGCGGTGGGGAGGGTTTGACGGCTGGCTACTGCAGGCAGTGTTCTCTGGCCCTTAACATTGATATCCTGCCCTCTGTCTACATCACTCGATGGGACCTGCAGAATACCAATGAGTGAGTTTTGGCTGCCTTTCCTTTTTTAAAAATTTTTAAAAAAAAAAGAATGTAGGTGTTTTTAATTAATGACCAAATCAACGCAATTTAGACTATTTAGCTTATTATTTAGGAAGCCAGACTTTGACCCTGCCTGTCAAAGCCAATCTTGGCTGATAGGGAAACAATGTCTCTGCAGAATGATGGAGAGACTCGATAAAAATTCTCCCAAACCAGACTAAAAACTCAGGTCTCCTGCTTGTAATTGCGAAGTGCTTTACCGCTACACCGCAAATACCGGTGAATTGGCTGTTCTCAGTTTGTTTTTTCTTTTTTTTTTTCTAATTAGATTTTAAAAGTATTTGGGTGGGGGGTGGGGGGGAATTTGCTGTGTGTGTGTGTGTGAGAGAGAGGGAAAAAAAGGGAAGAGAGAGAAACATTGTTTTTTTGTTGTTGTTTTTGTGTGTGTGTGTGTGTGTGTGTGTGTGTTTGTGTGTGTGTGTGTGTGTTAGAAAATCAGTGAGAGAGAGGAAGAGAGAGAAAGACTGTCTGTATATGTGTGTGTGTGTGTGTGAGTGCGAGAATGAGGGATCATGTACATGCTGTATTCATATTATGCAACATTATGTAAAGACGAAGATATTGCAAAATGCCTCAGTGTAGTAATGATCTGCACAAATGTTATTATTATTAGTATGGCAGTTGTTTGTCATGCCAACTTCTTACATAACAATGATTCAGCTGTAATATTCTTTACTGTTATTCATGGGTAGTTGGCGGATACTCTGGTGTGGTTTGCTCCTGCTTTCCTATCAAACATCTATCATCCTGATTTCTCCTCCTTTTTTGTGTTTGTTACTCTCTTGTAACACCTCTATTCCTTGGCACTTATATGACCTTATTGTGTTGCAAGTGCCGTAAAACTCTTACTAAAACTAAACTTTTCTGTTCTTCAGCCCTCAATTTTGTCGCCTGTGTTTGGATCTGGTCAATGTGTCTGGCCATCAGATGGACTTAAGCTACGCATCAGACAGCAGCATTGTTCTAGAGCCTCATCACACACGCAGGTCAGTGCAGCTTTTCAGATTTTTAGGGTGCTGCTGACACTACTTTTAAGTTTGATGTCGACACTATTTAATATCTGCCAACTTCAAGGTTATAAGAAACAGAAAAATGGAGTGCACATTCGTAGACTGAAAAAGTTGGTGGTTTAAAAAAAAAGTTTGTTGAGGTTTCTGGCCAGAAAACAGCAAAATACTTAATATGTGATGGACTAGCCCATCCAAAGTATAGCACAGGAAAAAGGTGTAATTGAAATACCAAATGTACAATGTTTAAATGAATACATTTACAAAGGTAAGTTTTTGCCTAGCAAGAGAAGACATTTAGTAAAATTTCTATAATGCTGATGTTTATTTGACAGGTCGACGTTTTGTTCTTGTGTTCCAAGGTCAGGTGTAGAAAATCAATAAAAAGGGAAACAGGATTACCATCTTTCCCAAATTTTCTGGGGCTGTCCCTTATTTGGCGGTGTGGAGATAGATGGAGAAAGTTGGAGTTAGTTGGTGCTAAAATCTTGTAATTATTACTGAGGTACCTTCCCTTTATGCTTACCTCAATTCCCCCCATTTGAAAGCGTTAGATTCAGATTTTAGCTCGAAAGAGAAGATTAGATCTAGATATAAACATTTAACACACAAAATTATTTACTGGCAGTAAGCACAGATGGGCTTACATGTATATGTTTGGATTGTACGAGCGTTGTATAAGGTAGGAAAAGACTCTTGTCACTTCTTCTTTACCTGCGAGCACTTACACGACATGTATTCCCCTCTTTTTGGTATCAGTTTTTCATTACTCGAATGCGTGTTGTTTATGTTGTTTGGTGGTGTTGTTTTGGGCATCATGTTACTTACTATAACTTGTGGGTGGTTGGCGGGTGCTCTGGTGTGGTTTGCTTCTTCTTTCCTATCAAACATCTATTGTCCTTATCTCTCCTTCTTCTTTTTTATGTTTGTTACTCTCTTGTAACACTTCTAATCTTCTGGCGCTCATATGACCGTATGCAGTTGCGAGCGCTGTAAAACCTCTACTAAAACTAACTAAGTCCAACTTTCTCCACCTATCTCTCGATGAAATCCCCCCAAAAGCATAGAAATGTGGGTCAATGTAGAATGTACATGGAGAAATTCATGTTGAAATATTCATAAATAAAAAAGTTATGGGAGGTAGAGTGGGGTCACCCCTGAGCAGCCTTGGTTCCTGGGATTTCCCCCCGGCACAGGGGCCTATTTACCTGCTGCATTGAAGGGCTTATTTTACTTTCTCACTCTTGTTTTTAAATTTTGAAAAAAGTCTGATGTGGTCAGTTTTTCTGTATGGAAGTGGGGCCTGGCCATATTTTTTAAAAAAGGAAGATAAAAATGGAGTCGAAGCAGGAGAAATGTCTTGTTTACAGAAGACTGCTGCGGGTAAAATGGATAGAGATAGAATAAAAAACAGAAGTGTTCTGAAAGAACTTGATAAATAGTGTAGTCTTTTTAAAAATCAGCCATAGGGGACTCAGATACCTTTGCCAAGTAAATTGAAAGATAAAAACAGACTTGATGACAACTGTGCTGCAGGGCAAAGTAGAGAAAAAGAGAAATTAGGGAAGGCCTCCATCATCATGTATTGAAATATAAAATTTGACTGGGGGCTTCATGAAAAACTACATCAAAGGAGAGACTGGGGAAGATGTAGGCCTGTTGTGGCTAGGAGTGGGGCACCATCAGACAAATATAACCACAGTCACAAGTGACACTTGTTTGTGGTGAGTTTGTTCTGTGCCGTTCTCACAACTGTACTAAAGCCATTCGAAGGTATGACTAAGTGCTTGTTTAACTGGTTAGAAGAGAAATTTTGGTATTCTGACAGTTTGTCATACTGGTGGCTGGAGGGTGCCACTGATGGGTCCTACTTTTTTTTCTTTCCCTCTGTTTTCTGTCTTTCTCTTTTCCAATACTAGATGACTGTTATTGTGTCTAAATTCTTCTGTTTACTCAAATAATCAAAATAACATTTGTGTGTGTGGTTGACAGGCAATCTGGTGTAGTTTTCTCCTTTTTTTTATCAGCAAACGTCTATCAACCTTGTCTCTCGTTCTTCTTATCTCTTTATGTTTCCCTCTAGCAACAGCTCATTTGATGCCAGTTTGTTTATTTGTGTTTCAAGTGCTGTAAAACTCCTACTATGTCTAAGCTGAGCAATAGTTTTTTTCTCGTTCGTTCAGAATTGGGTTGGAAGTACCGCGCCTGGATGCGGAGCAAGTGGACATGAGTCAGATGGAGCAAAACAGAATCCCGGCTCACTACCGTACTCGAGCATCTCCTGACCCGTACAGTCAGTGCTTGGCCAGATATGTGGACATTAAGTGGACCATGGTGAGTAATTTGTGGAGGTGGGATTATCAAGTTACTGATATGCGTTACTCTTAATGGTACTTTTACTTTGTTCTTGTTACCTTAATTTTTGGTGTTTGTACACTACTTGTGTTACCTTGATTTCCTTAATTTTTTTTTATGCTATGTAGGTATAATGTTGTTACAAAGATTTCAAAGCTGAACTGTTTTTGGATGTCAAGGAGCTCAAGGACTACATTCTGACTGTTGAAAAAAAAAATGTTTTTTAAAGTTCAGTAAGAGTCTTACATCATTTGCTATACAAATAGAAATACAAGTTTTATCTATCGTTCTTATCTCTTCTCCTTCTTTTCTATGTATTTTACTCTGTAATAACCCCTCTATTCTTCAGCGCTTATATGACTTATTTGTGTTGCAAATGGAGTAAAACTCTCACTGAAACTAAAAACTAACAGACTTTGTTAAATTGTTTTCATATTTTGATACCCAACAGCCTTGATGTACTGGCTCTGGTTACCTCAGCTTCTGTGTATCATCAACTATTAGATATACACTGCCTTTTGCTAAGAGATGTGCTCAGTGCAAAGAAATATAAAAGTAATCAAACTCTGGTGTTTTGTTGGGTTTGTCTGATCAAAAAAAATTTTCTCCAGAAATATTCCTTTTCATTCAAACTTTTTCAGCTTTTTTACATGATGTTTATAAGTTAGAAGAGAGGATATGGAAGAAAAGAGGTGAAGAGAAATATTATACATCGCTTTAAAAAAGATATAGCTTGAAACAGTATGGTCAAATGATGCAAATTATTAGCTCAATCAGTATTTTACTGGATTGTGCTATGTATCACCCGTGGGTGTTCTTGGACGTTTGTTTGAAATTCTGTAAGCTCATCTCGTAGTTGTCCAGTCCTAAAAAAGATAGAGATAGATATTTCATTAAGAGATCTAGTGTCTAAGATGACCTTGATGGAAGGTAGAAGGTGCCGTTGGTAGTTCCTACTTTTTTTTTCTGTCTGTCTCATCATGTTTTTGTCTTACTCTTTCCCTGCACCAAGTGACCTTTATTGTTTTGATGAAATTCTCTTACGTAAAACTTCAGACCGGGGCTCTCGTGGCCTAGAGGTTAAGATGTTCGCCTCTCATGCAAAGGTCCCGGGTTCGAATCCGGGTAGCGACCGTAAAAATTTTTTTTCTCTAAAATTGTCTTTTTTTTTCCTTCTTTCCTGCTCTCTAGCACTGTTCTGTCGTCTGCTTTCGTTTTCACTTTCTGCCCCTACCCCCTCACCCCGTTTTCCCCCTCCTTTGCGCTTCTGACTCTTTCTGCAGCCTTTCTACTGCTACTCCTTGGCTCCTTCTTACTGCTACTCCTTGGCTCCTTCTTACTGCTGTCTTTCAGCCACACCCCTGATCTTCTGGTTGGAAAGATCTACACCTAGCCTTCTCGGACAAGGGCGAAAAATCTCGGAGGTCCCGTGTGCAAGTTGCGCTCGTTAAAGATCCCTTGGTGGTCTAAAATCAATAAAAGTAGGCTTCGACCTCCATCCGGGCAAAATTCTAAATTTCCTACCAACCGAAAATGTTTAATGTGTCCCACACGCTCATATGACCTTATGCAGTTGCGAGCGCAGTAAAACACATGCCAAAAAAAAAATATTTAAAAATCCATCAGACATGGGTGGTTGACGGGTGTTCTGGTGTGGTTTGCTCCTTCTTTCATATAAAAAATCTATCTTTTCTATCTCCCCTCCTTCTTTTTTATGTTTGTTACTCTCTTGTAACACTTCAGCACTTATATGACCTTATTGTGTTGCTAGTGCAGTAAAACTTGTACAAAAACTCTAACTCTCCTTCTTTTCTTTTTGTGTTTGTTACTCTCTGTAACACCTATAGTCCTTACCACTTATATGATTGGTTTGGGTTGGAAGTGCTGTAAAACTCTTAACTAAAACTGAAACTATCGAACATGCTGTTTCAGCCTTCTACCAAAGCAACTGGCACAGTGGGCATCGACTACCTCACCTGGACTCCAGAACAACTCAGGGTGTTGCTCCTATCGGACATTCGCTGGGGTAAGGAAGTGTACAAAAGGATTCTCAGTCTTACATCTTTTAACTCTACAAGACTGGTGCGCCTGAGCTCCAGTGTGTCGACTACTAGATAGTTATGTGCAGTATTGCAGTGAAATCAGGCGCCCGTCAAAGTAATGAAATGGACGTCTGGCAATTTTTACTGATTTTTGTTTGGCTCAACACCTTTAATATCCTGATAAAAATATTTGTGAGCCATCATGGTGAAATTAGGCGCTCGTCAAAATAATGAAATCGAAGAATTCTGCGTTTTTCCTTCTATTTGGCAATTTTGATCTAATTTTTATTTCTTGGCTCAACACCTTTTAGCTCCGTTAAAAAATACATTGCTGCGTGGATTTTTACTGAAAAACAATAATTAATGGCACAGTGAATTTTAATCTACTGTTTCCAAGGACTCTAAAGCTTTGGAAATCACCAAACTTTGGAGGACATTTTCTCACTAATTTTACCTCTGAAACAAGGCAACCTCGACCTCCTTCAATAGCAAATAGTTGGACTTTTATAGTAGATAGTCGAATGCAAGGAAAATGAATAAGCTTTAAGATTATACCATTAACTCCGTATACCCCAAAATTGACAAGCGCCTGATTCCACAGCGTCATGGCACATTTCTTTCTGGATTTTACTGAAAAATATAGGTCAAAAGGACGGAAAATGTAAATTTGCACTTTTCAAGGACAAACTTTGACGGATGATTTCTCACTAAATTTACCTCTGGCAACAGGCAACCACCCCCTCCACCCCCCCCTGTCAGTCTCTTATATCTCGTCTTCTATTCAAGATCATAGATTGGTACTCGAGGCAATAGTACTCTAGAAATCCCTTCTCCTTCTGTCTCTCTCTCTGTCTCTCTTTCTTTCTCCCTCCCCCCCCCT